ATTGGAGACCCTCTCCTTATTACGCTAGATTTCTAAAGTCCCTGAGCCTGTGTCAGAACTGTCCTCGTCCGGCGGTCTATGTGTGTGCCAGTGCCACACTGCTGCTGGTGTGCTGTGTGTGCCTGGGCAGCCGGGTCTCCCTTGTAGCTCTTGCCTTGGTTTCCTCCCTATTCTTGGGTATTTTGCATATGAATTTAAATATCGCCTTGTCTAGTTCCATTAAAAAGCTTGTTGGTTTTTTTTTTATTGAGATCACATTAAATTCACAAATTATCTTAGGGAGAGATGACATCTTAATCATGCTGAAATATTTCTGTCAAGAACAAGGGATGCTTCCATTTGATCAGGCCGACTTGCGTATCTTCAGGAGGCTTTAAACTTTTCTTGCTGCAGGTTTTACACATTTCTTAAGTTGATTCCTGAGTAGTTAATCTTTTCTGTTAACATCGCAAATGGGACTGTCTCTTATCTGTAATATCTTCATAATGTTTATGAAGGCTGTTGACTTGTCATGTTAATTTTATTTCCTGCTACTTTGCTGAATTATGTTATCGATTCTTTCAAGGCTTCCAGGAATACTATCATGTCTTCTGCAAGTAGAGACAGGGTTTTGTTTTTTTTTTTTAATTTGCTTGTTTTTTCAATTTTGTGCTTTGGCTAATGCCTGCAGGACAGTGTTAATAGTGAGAGAGTGGACAGCATCCTGCCTTGTTCTTGACCTGATTAAGAATGCTTCTCGTGTTTCCCCATTAAGACGCTAACTTAAGAACTGAGGTGTACAAAATGTCCTCAACAAGTTTGTGGGAAGTGTGTACTATGAAAAACTATGCATAAACTTCAAAAAAAAATTTTTGGTTCTGATATGAATGTTTTCACTGAAAATTATGTCATTTCTGTTTGTACTTCCCTTCACTCAAATATGGTTGATAGATGTATATTTTTTCTTTGGTTTATTTGGGTTTTTGCTTTAGTTTTTACTTCTAGTTTTATTACACTGATATAAAAGTTATTATTTCTACCTTATGCCAACTTTTTATATTTTCTGTGTACCTTAAGAAACACAGACCAGGGACAGGCGCTGTGGCATAGCATCTACCATGCCGGCATCCCATATGGGTGCTGGTTCCAGTCCCAGCTCCTCCACTTCTGATCCAACTCCTTGTTAATGTGCCTGGAAAAGCAGTGGAGGATGGCCCAAGTCCTTGGGTCTTTGCACCTACATGGGAGACCCAGAAGAGGCTCCTGGCTCCTGACTTTGGCCTGGTCCAGCCCCAGCCATTGTGGCCGTTTGGGGAGTGAATCAGTGGATGAAGATCTCTCTGCGTGTGACTGCCTTTCAAATAAAAAAGAAAGAAAGAACAGACAAGCACAGAGCAGTCACTATGGATGCCCTGTCTGTGCTTGGAAAGTGTATGCTGCGGCATCCGAGCCTGCCGTCCATGGGCAGTCATAGCATCTGCTGACCGCTGTGGTCTGTGACGATTCGGGGTGGCTCTGGGAAAGGTTCGCGCTCTTCTGCACTTTCCACCTCTGGGACATCAGGCTGGGAGGCCGCCTGTGTGCCCTGTTCCAAGCGCCTCCTTCCTGCCCTCCCTGCAGTCTTCATTAGATCTGTCCATTTGGGCTGAGGGCTTGTGTTTTTTAAAAAGATTTATTGATTTTTCTTTGAAAGTCAGAGTTACACAGAGAGAGGAGAGGCCGAGAGAGAGAGAGAGAGAGAGAGAGAGAGAGAGAGAGGTCTTCCATCCAATGGTTTACTTCCCAACTGGCTGCAATGGCCAGAGCTGTGCCGATCCGAAGCCAGGAGCTTCTTCTGGGTCTCCCACGTGGGCGCAGGAGCCCAAGGACTTGGGCCATCTTCCACCACCTTCCCAGGCCACAGCAGAGAGCTGGATCGGAAGTGAAGCAACCAGGTCTTGAACCGACACCCATATGGGATGCCGGCACTGCAGGCCAGGGTGTTAACCCGCTGCACCACAGCGCCAGCCCCCGACTGTCTTTTTTAAAAAGATTTATTTATGTATTTAAAAGGTAGAGTTTCAGAGAGAGAAAGAGAGACAGAGAGAGATCAGTCTTCCATCCACTGGTTCATGCCCCAAGTGGCCACAGTAGCAGGGCTGGGCCAGGCTGGAGCCAGGAGCCGGGAGCTCATCTGGAATGCCGGAGTTGGCCGGCACCATGGCTCACTAGGCTAATCTTTTACTCCGCCTTGCGGCGCCGGCACACCGGGTTCTAGTCCCAGTCAGGGCGCCGGATTCTGTCCCAGTTGCCCCTCTTCCAGGCCAGCTCTCTGCTGTGGCCAGGGAGTCACAGGTGGAGCTTGGCCTTGTGACCACAGCATCGGCCCTTGTCGTCAGGTGACCTGGGAGGGCAAGTGGAAGCTGTCCTCCTTTACCCTTTACCTATTTTGTAAAGACTTGTTTATTTGATAGAGTCCCACAGAGAGAGGAAGAAACAGAGAGAGATTGGCCATCAGCTCATTCACTCCCCAGATGGCCCCAATGGCCAGGGTTGGGCCAGGCCAAAGCCAGGAGCTAGGAGCTTCTTCCAGGCCCTCCACCTGGGCCATCTTCCGCTGCTTTTCCCAGGCCATTAGCAGAGAGCTGAATTGGAAACGGAGCAACCAGGACACGAAACAGCACCCATGTGGGATGCTGGAACTGTAGGCGGTGGCTCTACGCGTTACATCACAATGCCAGCCTCAGAAGGTGTTTTCTTTAAGCATTGCTTTTTCTTTTTTAAGATTTATTTATTTATTTGAAAAGCAGAGTTGCAGAAAGAGAGAGAAAGAGAGGTCTTCCATCCTCTGGTTTACAACCCAAGTGGCTACAAGGGCCAGTGCCGAGCTGATCCAAAGTCAGGAGCCAGGAGCTTCTTCCCAGTCTTCCACGCAGGTTTAGGGACCCAAGGACTTGAGCCATCTTCCACTTCCACTGCTTTCCCAGACCATAGCAGAGAACGAGATCAGAAGTGGAACAGCCAGGACTAGAACTGGCTCCCATATGGGATGCCAGCACCACAGGCAGAGGCTTGGCCCACTCTCCCTCTCCCTCCCTCTCCCTCTCCCTCTCCCTCCCTCCCCTCCCTCTCCCCCCCTCCCTCTCCCCCTCCCCCTCCCTCTCTCCCTCCCTCTCTCCCTCTCCCTCCCTCTCCCTCTTTCTCCTCCTCAAAACAGAATAAAAAGTAGGAGGTTATGATGTCCTTCCTTGCCCTGGCAAATCCTGAAGATGCAGGCAACTGAGTGAACCTCCCTGGCTCTGGAGGGAGCAGAGCACACCGTACTCAAAGAAATGGGCTATCTGTTTTCATGTATCTGGGGGCTGCCTGCTAGAGGGACACAGACCCTTGTCACTGTCTCACCTGACCCAGAACCCGTTCTGCACAGAACAGGAACTGCAGCTGCCTGGGACAATGGTTCTAGTTAAGAGAAATAGCAGAACCTGAGTTTAGGAGGAAAGGTGTGGGTGACAGGTTCTTTGGGAAATTAGGACATTCAAAGCATGTGTGTATACTGGGAAGTTTAGAAAGCCCTGTGCAGGGACAGGATGCATGATGCAATGGGTGAAGCCGCATCCCACATGGAAGCGCTGGTTCAAGTCCTGGCTCCTCCATTTCCTGCTGATGCATCCTGGGAAGCACCAGGTTACTGCTCCAGTGTCTGCACCCCTCACCCACGTGAGAGACCTGCATGGAATTCTGGGCTCCTGGATTTGGGCTGTCCTCTCTCTGGCTGTTGTGGGAATTTGGGGAGTGATAGAAGATCAATCTCTGTGTGTGTGTGCCTTTCTCTCCCTCCTCCCTCCGTCTCTCTCTTTCTCTGCCTATCAAGTAGATGAAAATAAATACAAAGAAGAACAAACCCCTGTGCAGGCTCAGGGCAGCTTGCAGGCTTGGAAGAACTAAGACCTTAAGCTTTCTCCTTGGGCTGGCCTCTCACCGCTCTGCAACAGCGGAAGTGAAGACTAAGGCAGAGCTGTGCACAGCTTGACTGGGCAGTGAAGCGGCCCAGCAGAGAGCCAGTCACAGAGACAGGAGAGCACTCTGTCCCGCTCGCGCGCGCTCTCCCTCTCTCCACTCCTCATGTGGATGATGAGCACGCTTGCAGGAGCGACAGGCGGCGGGAGGTGCCCAGGCTCAGGGCTGCTCCGTCTTGGAGACTGCCTGGCGGGCGGGGAGCCTGGGTGGCAGCGGCAGTGCCCTGCAGCCCCTGTGCTGCTCAGCCGTCTCGGCTGTAATGCTTGCAGACTGCCGTGGTTCGGATGCGGTCAGACGCTGGGTTGACCATCACTCGGTCTGAATACTCTAGCCCTAGGACAGGGCTCGTCCCACTGTCCTCCTGGCTGCTCGTCCCATTCTGCAGGAGCTAAAGAAGGACTAGCGAGGAGCTGCTGCATGGCAGCAAGCAGACACAGCGCAGGCGCCACGCCCCACGCGGGGACTAGCTCTGTGAAGAGGGGTGGTTCCTCGGTGGCAGCAGTTTTTAAAAACATTATGATTTATTTAGAGACAGAATGACAGAGCAGGTGAGAGAGAGAATCTTCCATCTGCTGGTTCATTCTCCAGATGCCTAAGCTGGGAGCCTGGAATCCCATCCAGGTCTTGCAGATGGGGGGCAGGGGCCGAAGTACTTGGACCAGCACCTGCTGTTTTCCCAGGCACATTAGCAGGGAGCTGGATTGGAAGCAGAGCGGCTGAGACTCAGGCTGGCACTGTGCTACGGGATGCGGCCTGAGCCACGGCGCCACAATGCCGGCCCGAGCTCTTGGTTTTGCTTTATGGGTTCCCGTGATTCAGGGGCTGGTGTTTGTACTCTGGCTGCTCTGACCATATCATCATGTTCCCATCGGGGAGCCTTGCCGAGCTGGATGCCACAGATGGAGACAGGGCTGACGTGACACGGTCAAGACCCTCCAGAGGAGTGACAGGGACGCGCGTGACTCGGACTCACCATGCCTCGGTCGACAGTGCCGACTGCTGACATCTGCCGTCTTCCTGCGCAGGAAGAACATGCCTGTGGAACATGTGACACACGTGGACAGAGAGCAGACAAAGAAGGTGGTGTACTCAGTGGTCTACGGAGCAGGTAGGCAGCACCCAGGAGCTGAGATCTTGGGGTCCCCCCTCAGCCGGACAGCTGTGTGCCTCCGGTCCCCGTGTGCCTGCCCCGGGTGTGCTCCAGGGCCTCTTCCAGGACTGGAGTGACACCCTGTCTCCACACTCCACCTTTCTCTCTGAGTGGATGCCACCCCCACAAGCCCACAGCCCCAGAGCGCCACTCCTTCAGACTGCCACTGGCTCCTCCCTTCTCAGCCAGCAGCCACTGTGGTAGATCCCCACTTCCGGTAACAGATCGCCACGACCTAGTGACATGAGACAGCACTTACTATCTCCCAGCTTCTGTGGGTCCAGGCGCAGCTGAGCCGGGACCCCCCCACTGCAGTCAGGGTGCTGACTGGGGCTGTGCTCTCATCGGACACTCAGCTGGGGAGGGATCGGCCTTCGTCCACCTCTGATTACGGTTGACATCAGCCAGAGCCCCCTCAGCTCCCTGCCCTGCATGGCCAGTTGGTTCTTCAGGTCCAGCTGGGAGTGAGAGATGCCCACTCTGCACCTGCTCCTGGTTCTGTTTCATCCCCGGCTCAAACACCGGCCCAGTGGGGCAGGTGCTCCTGTCAGCTTTGCTCATCGCCTGTGAGAAGAGAAGGCACACAGTGCGCGTGACGGTCTCAGCACAGTTCCTGGGGACTAGTCCCAGAAACTCTGAATGAAGAACTAAACCCAGTGGTGACAGCAGTGACACTGGCTTGATTTTTCCCAGTGTGTCCTGGTCTGTTTCCTGCACTCTGTGGCTCCCTGAGCATTCTGCCAAGGTGTGTTAGCTCCTGCAGCCTCGTGTCCTTGTTCCAGGACACGTGCTGTGGACGTGCCGTGAGCGCCAGCTCTGCAGAACCCTGCCTTCCCCAAGCCGGCCAGGTTGGAGTCCCCACCCTGTCACCCCGACCGTGACCGTTTCTTCCTTGGCGGATGCTCCCTAAGGAATTTCTGAGGCTGCACCTGGCACATCTCTGTCATTTGCCCCCACCTCTGGGTCCCACTGAAAGTCTGTGCCGTCAGCGAGTGCTCCGCGTGGCTGTGCGGCTTCCCCAAGGCCCTGTGGCACCACCTCTGGGGCTGGCCCCTCAAATGCAGCAGAGAGCAAGGGGCAGAGGGTGGCGTGTGGCACTTCTGCTGTGGGGAGCCGTGCTCCAGGGGGACGTGGGGCCCACCCCTCCGCACTGCGCCCAGGGAAGGTCGGCTGCGCCGCCATCCCTGTGCCTCCTTCTGCATTATGCGTTTCGTGAGGGAAGAGCTGCACTGTGTAATAAGCATGAGTCATCAGCCCCGGTGCTGGAGAAACGGGGAATTTGGCTGCTTTTAGCACAACAGTGACACAGGAGGTCCCACCCTGAGCCTGCGTCTCTGCTGCTCCCGTTGTTCTGTCCAGCGTGACAGCCAGAATCGCTGTGGCTCTGTTCTCGTGTTTGAGACCTGAACCCTGTGGGATGAGCGGGGACTGTCAGGGAGGGCTGGGCCGGCCTCTGCCCGTCTTGCAGCAGTGCGTTGCCACAGAAGCACCTCTGCGCCAGCTGGAAGCTGCTGCTCTGAATGCTGGGGCGAGCGGCAGGGCATAATCCCAGTGCACACCGCGGAAAATCAGCCATGTGATCGCGGTGAGGGCCACTAGCATGGAGAGGAAGCACCGGGACTGTGGAGCAGGCAGAGGAGTTCTGGAAACGAGTAGCTGCTTTCTTTCTTTTAAGATTTATTTATTTATTTGAAAGGGAAAGTTACTGAGACAGAGAGGGGGACAGACAGAAAGACCTTCCATCCGCTGGTAGACTCCCCAGATGGCCTCAATGGCTGGAGCTGGGCCAATCTGAAGCCAGGAGTGAGAAGTTTCTTTTTTTTTTTTTTTTTTTTTTTTTTGACAGGCAGAGTGGACAGTGAGAGAGACAGAGAAAGGTCTTCCTTTGCTTTTGGTTCACCCTCCAATGGCTGCCGCGGCCGGTGCGCTGCAGCCGGCGCACCGCGCTGATCCGAAGCCTGGAGCCAAGTGCTTCTCCTGGTCTCCCATGGGTGCAGGGCCCAAGCACTTGGGCCATCCTCCACTGCACTCCCTGGCCACAGCAGAGAGCTGGCCTGGAAGAGGGGCAACCGGGACAGAATCTGGCGCCCCGACCGGGACTAGAACCCCATGTGCTGGTGCCGCAAGGCAGAGGATTAGGCTAGTGAGCCGCGGCGCCTGCTTTGGAGTCAGAAGTTTCCTTTGGGTCTCCCACGCGGGTGCAGGGGCCCAAGCACTTGGGCCCTCTTCTGCTGCTTTCCCAGGAGCATTAGCAGGGAAGTGGAGCAGCTGGGATTTGAATCGGTGCCCACGTGGAAGTGGAGCAGCTGGGATTTGAATCGGTGCCCACGTGGGATGCCGGTGCCACAGGTGACGGCTTTACCTGCTATGCCACAGTGCCGACCCCGTAGATTGCTCCTTTTTTCATACAAATTTCTTCCATGCTTTCATGCAGTTAATCAGGTTTCTGCTTCCTAAACTGTAATCATATGCAGGCCTGTCTCCCGAGAGAACTCCGGGGTCTACTAGGTGGGAGTATGCAGCACTCCTTACCTTTCATGCCCTGTGTGAAGCACACACTTTGACTCTCCCACAGACGCGTGTGTGTGTGTGTGTGTGTGTGTGTGTGACAGTTCTAGCGTTAGGGAGACAGGCTTCACTCCCTTTCTTCCAAGTGCTCCCCTGAACACCACTCAACGCCTGATTCTTGTTTCTGTCCTGCGTGGAAACGCGCCCTGGCCTCAGGAAACCTGGCTGACTCGGCTGATCGACCACAGACAGTGCTGCCCTGGGCAGGCCCCTGGACTCGCCCCGCGCTGCCCAGGCCAGCACCATGCTCTCAGCCCCTCCCAGGCGTATCGCCTGACAGATGCAGGACCCCTGCGAGCAGGCCCTGGGCGGTCGCCCACAGTCCTCCTGGTGCCAGGGTGGGTCTGGCATGTGGCCCAGACTCAGTACACGCCTGCTGATCCCAAGACAAATGCACGTGCAGCAAACGAGACATGTCTGACAATGTGAGGCTGCCTGTAAGAGTGACAGGAGCTCACAGCAAAGCTGGGAGTTAGAGGATGCTCTCTGTGGGCTCAGACAGGGCCGCGAACAGGGCTGTCGGGTGAGGGGTAGGTGATGAACCCAGGCCACGAGGGGCAGGAAGCCCAGGAGCAGACTCGAGAGCAAGGCCTCGGTAACTGCAGCTGTCAGCTCCGCACACGGCCTGCCAGCCCCTGCAGACCCGGGACTAGCGGGGCCGGGATCCCACAGGTTACAGGGGCAGAGCACAAGGGCCCCTCATCCCTTTCCAGACCTCCCCTGCCTGCTCCACAGTCCCGGGCTTCCTCTCCGTCCTCGTGGCCCTCACCGCGATCACATGGCTGATTTTCCGCGGTGTGCACTGGGATTACGCCCTGCCGCTCGCCCCAGCATTCAGAGCAGCAGCTTCCAGCTGGCGCAGAGGTGCTTCTGTGGCAACGCACTGCTGCAAGACGGGCAGAGGCCGGCCCAGCCCTCCCTGACAGTCCCCGCTCATCCCACAGGGTTCAGCCGGGCTCCAAGAGAGGAAGGAGCAAGAGCTCAGGAGGAACCCTGTCTGCTGGGATAAACTTGCAGAGAACAGGGCATTGCAGACCCCCACTCCTCCTGGCCAGGCAGTAGAAGACATCTGACCCTTCAGCGCCAGGGGCCTTAAACACTCCCGTGTGGAGCCGCTGACCTGGGAGTGACCTCGCTAGAGGCAGCTCAGTCCCACTCCTTAGAGGTCTCTCCCTTGGTCTTTGCAGACCCCGCATCTCCACTCCCTTTTCCTCTGTGTCACTCTCTGACCTCCCCCAGTTCTGGAATCAGGTCTCCCAGTGGTCAGGCTGAGTGAAGGGACCATGTCCACTTCATTCACGGCCTGAAATGCTTAGCAGGCCGCGTCCAGATGGACAGCACCTGGTACCCAGTGCGGAGGTCAAAGCTAGGACTTGGGAGCTCCTGGCTGAGCCCTGCACTGCTGCAGAGTTGGCGGGGAGGGGAGAAGTGAAGGCGGTGAGAAGACACGGACATGGGGACTGGTTCCTGCTGTGGCATGGGGAAGCTCAACAAGAGGCGTCACTGCCATTTCCTGAGGTTGAAGACACTTTACTGCAGATCCTCACCCGGAATGACATCAGCCGGCACATCACAGAGATGGTGCAGCAGCCCCGGACGCCACAGCACTCCACCCAGGAGCAGCCCCGGGACCACCCAGCACTCCACCCAGGAGCAGCCCCAGGACCACCCAGCACTCCACCCAGGAGCAGCCCCGGGACCACCCAGCACTCCACCCAGGAGCAGCCCCGGGACCACCCAGCACTCCACCCAGGAGCAGCCCCGGGACCACCCAGCACTCCACCCAGGAGCAGCCCCGGGACATCCAGCACTCCACCCAAGAGCAGCCTCGGGACCACCCAGCACTCCACCCATGTACAGACCCCGGGGACCACCCAGGACTCCCACCCATGAGCAGGAGCGGGACCACCCTACACTGCACCCAGGAGCAGCCCCGGGACCACCCAGCACTCCACCCAGGAGCAGCCCCGGGACCACCCAACACTCCACTCAAGGAGCAGCCCCGGGACCACCCAACACTCCACCCAGGAGCAGCCCCGGGACCACCCAGCACTCCACCCAGGAGCAGCCCCGGGACCACCCAGCACTCCACCCAGGAGCAGCCCCGGGACCACCCAGCACTCCACCCAGGAGCAGCCCCGGGACCACCCAGCACTCCACCCAGGAGCAGCCCCGGGACCACCCTACACTGCACCCAGGAGCAGCCCCGGGACCACCCAGCACTCCACTCAAGGAGCAGCCCCGGGACCACCCAGCACTCCACTCAAGGAGCAGCCCCGGGACCACCCAGCACTCCACCCAGGAGCAGCCCCGGGACCACCCAGCACTGCACTCAGGAGCAGCCCCGGGACCACCCAGCACTCCACTCAAGGAGCAGCCCCGGGACCACCCAGCACTCCACTCAGGAGCAGCCCCGGGACCACCCAGCACTCCACTCAGGAGCAGCCCCGGGACCACCCACACTCCACCCAGCAGCAGCCCCGGGACGCCACCAAGGACTCCATCCTGAGCAGGACCGGGGCATGTTCACTACGGAAGACCTGCACTAGGGTCTCCCTGCAGCCTTAGCCCGCCCCCTGCCCTCCAGGCCTTCCCCTGGCTTGCCCTCAGCCTGTTTTTCCGATTCCAGCCTCTGATTTCTGATTCTCCACTCCTTCCCACCCTGTTGAGAGGCTGTGTGAGGTGCAGCTAGGCTACTGAGGTGTTGCCATCAAACCCAGGCTGTTCAGGGAACAGGAGGCCTGACCATGTTCTCTTTCCACTACCTCTTCCCTGTGTTGTCACACAGTGTCATTGTCGATGTTAAAGTAATATTCTGTGGGGGGAAAAAAGTCACCACTAACACCATCTTCTCTGATCAGAAAAAGCTGGAGGTTCCAGCTGGGCCTTCCCTCCCCATGTCATCCCAGAGGCCCTGGTCAGCTCGTGGCTGTGCGGGCAGCCACTCTGTGAAGTGTGTCTCAGCGCCCCTCCCTCCCCATGTCATCCCAGAGGCCCTGGGCAGCTCGTGGCTGTGCGGGCAGTCACTCTGTGAAGTGTGCTCTCAGCGCCCCTCCCTCCCCATGTCATCCCAGAGGCCCTGGTCAGCTCGTGGCTGTGCGGGCAGTCACTCTGTGAAGTGTGCTCTCAGCACCCCTCCCTCCCCATGTCATCCCAGAGGCCCTGGGCAGCTCGTGGCTGTGCGGGCAGCCACTCTGTGAAGTGTGTCTCAGCACCCCTCCCTCCCCATGTCATCCCAGAGGCCCTGGGCAGCTCGTGGCTGTACGGGCAGTCACTCTGTGAAGTGTGCTCTCAGCGCCCCTCCCTCCCCATGTCATCCCAGAGGCCCTGGTCAGCTCGTGGCTGTGCGGGCAGCCACTCTGTGAAGTGTGTCTCAGCGCCCCTCCCTCCCCATGTCATCCCAGAGGCCCTGGTCAGCTCGTGGCTGTGCGGGCAGCCACTCTGTGAAGTGTGAGATAGGCCTTGGCTCTGACCCCGGTCTTCCTTACATACAGGGAAAGAGCGGCTTGCTGCCTGCCTTGGAGTTGCTGTTCCGGAAGCTGCACGGTTTTTGGAGACTTTTCTGCAGAAGTACAAGAAAATCAGCGACTTTGCCCAAGCAGCTATCGCTCAGTGTCACCAGAGAGGTGAGCCGGCTGCGCCTAAGCACGCGGCAGCTGCCGTGCCCGCTCCCGTGTGGCTGGTGGTGTCCAGGGCTCCTGGTTCTGTGAACAGGTGGACAGATGGGTGGATTGTGTATGACCATGTGAGGCTGGGAGTGGAGGGGGTGTCTGGGTGGGCAACCAGCCCCTGCTGGGTGAACAGAACCAAAAGTCTCCATGTGAGAAGGGGCCAGAGCCAGACTTCTCTGGAAGCAATAAAACAAACTCGAATTAATGAATGATAAATGGACAAATATCTTGTTCCAAAAATGGAGCATTGGGCCAGCATTTAGCATGGAAAATCTACATTCCACCCATCTACTGTGAGAATCCATGTTGGAACCCTGGGATGTTCCATAGAGACCTCAGATGTATCTAAACTAGCTTTAGAGGAAAAGCTCCTCGAAACTTACCCTAACAAAACTTAGAGACGTAGAGGGATCAAGATGGCCTGCACATAACCTAAGCTGGCCACTTTTTTTAAGATTTTGTTTGTTTATTTGAGAGGCAGAGTTAGAGAGAGGGAGAGACAGAGGGAGGGAGATCTTTCATCCACCGATTCACTCCCCAAACAGCTGCAGCAGCTGGAGCTGAGCTGAGCCAATCCACAGACAGGAGCTTCTTCTGGGTCTGGGGCCCAAACACTTGGGCCATCTTCTACTGCTTTCCCAGGCCATTAACAGAGATCTGGATCAGAAGAGGGGCAGCTGGGACACGAACCAGCGCCCATATGGGATGTTGGCGCCACAGCCAAGGCTTAGCCCACTACGCCACAGCACTGGCCCCCTTCTAAACACTCTTGAAAGGAAAGCAGCACACTCAGCACCCAGCAACATAAAATCCACAATGCCCAGCTTCCAGCCAAAACTCTCTAGACACAGAAAGCTGCAAGAACTAAAATGGGCCAGGACAGAAACACAGGCTCTTCCTTAACCTCATGGCCAGTTACTGTGAGTACACTTCAGGAATCACCTGGCACCCAATAGGTATTCAATACTGCGTCATGTTTATGATTATTTTAATGTGGGAAATTCTTCTAATGTCCTCAGACACATAAAACCCAAAGCAGGGGCCGGTGCCGTAGCACAGTAGGTTAATCCTCCGCCTGCAGCGCCAGCATCCCATGTGGGCGCCAGTTCTAGTCCCAGCTGCTCCTCTTCCAGTCCAGCTCTCTGCTGTGGCCTGGGAAAGCAGTGGAGGATGGCCCAGTGTGGGGAGCAACCAGGACTAGACTGAGTTACTGGAATTAAGACTTATTCTGTGCATCTGCTCTCCCACAATATGGCGCTGGGAGAGGAGAAAACAGCTTCTACGCAGCTGCCTCCAGTTCAACCAATAAACTGTAGGACCTACTCCTGATTGTAGGAGAGCAGCGTACTCGGCGTGTGGGCAGCCGAGTTAGGATTGGCGGAGGAGGATTATAAAGGAGGAGAGAGACGGCATGCACCAGGGACATCTAAGGGGAACATCTAAGGCGAACACCTGTGCAGCCCCCGAGAGAGCCGGCCGGCGGTGTGCCGCTCCCCTGCGGAAGTGGGGAATGTGGCCAGGGGGAACTGCCCTTCCACGGAGGTGGAAGGGATAGTAGCCAACCCGGGAAGAACCAGCAGCAAACCCGGGGAGGGCCGAGCAGACGAAAGAACAGCGCAGGGTCCTGTGTCGTTCCTCCACGAAGAGGGGGAGCGACAGCCCAGGTCCTTGGGCCCTGCACCTGCCTGGGAGACCAGGAAGAAGCACCTGGCTCCTGGCTTCAGATTGGTGCAGCTCCAATCGTTGCAGCTATTGAGGAGTGAACCAACGGATGGAGGGCCTTTCTCTCTGTTTCTCCCTCTCACTGTCTGTAATTCTACCTCTCAAATAAATAAAATCTTTAAAAAAAAAAAAAAAAAAAACAAAGCAGAGGATTGGTTGTCAGCACCTACTCAGGACAGGAATACACTCAGCCAGTGCCGTGTGTTTATATTCATTTTCTCAGAGCCCCTGAGTCACCAGATGTGGGGCTGCTTCTCGCAGGGCCTGGGCCATGCCTCCACCATCGGGCCTCCCTGAGGGGAGCAGGGCTGGTGTTTTCCCACAGATGGCTTTGAACAACTGCTACAGGACAAAAACTGTCCTCCCTTGTCCTCCATCAGATTATTTTTAAAAATCTTTATTTATTTGAGAGGTAGAATTACAGAGAGAGGGAGAGACAGAGAGAGAGAGGTCTTCCATCTGCTGCTTCACTCCCAAATGGCCACCACAGCAGAGAGCTGGATTGGAAGTGGAGCAGCCAGGACTAGAACCAGCGCCCATATGGGATGCCAGCGCCGCAGGTGGAGGATTACCCACTGCACTACAGCACCAGCCCCCTACATCAGACTTAAATGCAGCCAGAAGTCAGGGGAGCACAAGTGTGGGCCACCTGTGAAGTGCTCTCCTCACCCCAACCCCCCAAACCTGCTTGCTCCCCCACAGGCTAGGCGACCACAGGCCAGCATCAGCACCATGGCAAGGGGTCAGGAGACACTGTGCTCACAGGGGCGCAAGCCCGTCAGGCTACACAGCCCGTTCATTTCTGTCTTGTCTGCTTCTCTTTTGTGCCCCGCAGGCTATGTGACATCCGTCACGGGCAGGAGGAGGCCTCTGCCGAGGATTTGTGCGCAGGAACCGCACCTCCGGGCCCAAGCAGAGCGCCAAGCAGTGAACTTCGTGGTGCAAGGTACCAGGCCCTGAGCCTGCTTGCCGACTGTGGCTCCCTGCTCCCAGCTCTGCACCCAGCTGCCTCCCCACGCGCGGGGCTGCAGGACTGCGCACGCCTGGTGGTCGCTCTCAGGAGGCGTGAGTGAGACACGGCCTGCAGCTGCAGGCCTCAGCGGAAGGTCGGCTTTCGAAGCAGGACGGTTCCCTAAGAGCCAAGCTCTGCAGGAAATTCAGCCAGCACCAGAGCGCGGCCTGGGGCCGCTCTGTCTTGTCCTCTGGGGTAGGGCATCTGAGCAGCTCCCGGGACAGCCCGCGGGAGGAGTGGGGCCCTCGCTTCCTCTCATTACAGGAAGCCCCCCTTGTCTCTGCTAGTGTCCAACCAGGTCAGGAGCAGCATCTCTGCTTAGCGGTGCTGTGAGAACACTGTGATAACCGGCGCCATGCGCCACGCACCCCAGGGCCTGACACAGGACCCTCCGTGTCCCCCAGGCTCAGCCGCAGACCTCTGCAAGATGGCCATGATCCGCATCTTCGCTGCAGTCTCCAGCTCGCCCACCTTGACGGCCAGGTCAGTGGATGGAGGCCACTCGGCCAGGAGCAGCCTTTGCCAGAGCTCAGGTGGGAGGTGGCAGGCTCTGTGGCTGGGCCTGCCACCTCCCACCTGTGGGACTGACATGTCTAAATGGCCCAGGGGACACCACACTTACTGCCCCTCCCAGAGGCAGGCAAGGACCCTGGGGACTGCAAAGTGCCCCATGCCCCACCCTTGTTGCCAGCAACCCCAGCCATGCCTGTGTACAGTTCCTGCTGCTGCCACCCTTTGTCCCCAGGGCCAAGGTTCAGGGCCCCTGGTGGGGGGCTCTGGCACAGCTGCCCCAGGGCCTGGCTCTCAGGCTTCTCTCTGCCTTGGCGCTCCCCCGGCCTGCACCCGAACGTCTCTGTGGTGAGAGGACAAGGAGCTCTTGCCTTGGCGCTGGCCGAGGTGGCCACCCAGCCCCCTTCCTCATGCAGCTGCACTCACCACGGGCATCCTGGGCCCCCATTCTGGCCAACAGCCCACATCAGCCCTCTCAGACGGATCCCGTCAGACCCCACACGGGCCTCCCTGCCTCGGCCCACCTCCTCCCACGCGGCCCCTGCTGGCTGAGCCGTTGCCAAGGTGGGTCAGGGAGGGAAGCCCGCGGAGAGGTAAGCACAGCCTCTCCAGACGGTAGTGTGTAAAGAGGGCTCCTGGTCCCCACACCAGGGCCCCCACAGGGCCCGCCTTGGGCTGCAGGGATGGAGCTGGCGTTCTCTTAGCTTGAAATCACTTCACGCTCTCAAGGCGTGGTTTTATCCTTGTCAGAGATCTTTCGTCTTTCAAAAAACAGTCTCCTTTATCTCTTCAAATATATCCTCCTGTTCCTTTTGACTTCTGGTGATTTCCGCAACTTGATACAGGAGCGTGGAGGTGGTCCCCAGCCACAGACCCCTGCTGGCCACTGCCCTTCGCAGCCCCTGACAGGCGCTTGATGCCCTGGGGAAGAGCTGGGGCTGCCGTCCTGGGGGTCTCGGGAGGAAGGCGCACTGCCCCCAGTGGCCCCACAGCCCCCTGCGCTGGGTTCTGGGCTGCTGGGCTGTTGCTGCCGTGGCTACAGTGGCTGAGAGGCAGGCGCAGAATGCGACGGCTCTGCCGCACCTCATCTCCCCGGCCACTCTCCGTGTTGTCCTGCGTGCACACACGTGTGTGCACATGCCGAGGGCTTCCTGATTGCTTCCTGCTCGTGTCCACGGTTTCTGCAGAGGAGATGACAGCTCTCCCGGAGGACGAGCCGCCATGTCGGCTCTCCATCCTTCAGCCCTGGAAGCCAGGAGCTGGTCCAGACTGGAGAAGCTGGTCGTTTCTGTTCTGTGTGGACTTGATCAAGGCAGTGTGAGTGACTAAAGCCTTCTGAAAGTCGACCACAGACCATTCTCGCGCAGGAGCCAAATGGCCTGCTGTTGCCTCCGCTAGCAGCCCTCTGTTGTCATTGGGAACAGCGAAGTGCTCCCGGGGGACACGGCGTTCACACGCGTGGGTTTTGTAAGCGTCATCTACCCAGGAGTGACATGAGGGGCTTTGGGAGGTGTGTAGAAAGGGCAGGCTTGGGCCAGGTGAGAAGCTGCATCTGCCCGGAGAACACACGTGGCCCTGGAGCACAGTTCATCACCCGGGGAGCACGGGCTGGACCAGCGGACAGGCCCAGAACGGGCGATGCTGCCATTCATGCCATTCGTTGTCGGCACAAGGAAGGAGGAGGGCCCGCGGTGGCCCAGCCCTCGGCTTTCGCAGGCCCAGTGCTGGGAAGCTGGTGGCCCCTCTCTCTCTTCAGACGGGCCCCTCAAGAGAAGGCCTTCTGGATTTTAGAACGTGTAGAGACCATTAGCTCCAACACCTGAGTGTTGAGAAGGGGAAACTGAGGCACAGAGCCCAGTACGACTTGTCAAAGTCCATGCACCCCGGGGTGCGCCACCTGCAGCCCTGGTGGACTTGGAGCCGCAGGGGGCTTCAGCAGAGCTGGGGGTCGCCTCTGCAGGGGGAGCTGCCCTGGACAGGGGGCTGAGGTCAGCTCTCCTGGTCAGGACACCCAGAAACAAGATGCGGGCTGGAGGGACAGGAAGTGACGTCAGCGGTCAGCCCTTTGCCACAGAAGCTGCACTGAGGTGCCTTTCTCCTTGTTTCCTGTGTCCCAGTTTCCAATTAGAAGCGTGGCAGCGTCTCGGGCTGTGAGAGTGATGTGTAAGTGACTAACAATTAAACTATTCTTAGGATCCTGCCACACCAGCCGCTCGGAATCGCACGGCGTAATTTCAAGGAGTGTGAAATGGTCTCGGCTAAATCGGGAGAAAGTTGCAAGAACCTTCTCTGAGGCTCCTGTTCATTTTAAAGCCAAGTCCCCTTGAAAACCAGAGCCCTCAGAGTGAGTTTCCGGAGGCACAGCCAAGCTGCAGCCTGTGTCCTGCAGGCCTGCTTTGTGGGCAGCGTCCACGCCCCGGTGGACGGTCCCCCGTTCCGTGGTCCAGGCACAGTGGGGCGTCTTCTGGAGCACACCCCAGGCCACGCCACAACAACTGGAGGCCACACGGTGGATTTTTCACCATCACGAGGAGTGCAGAGCCCCATGGTTGCTGGCTTTGTTCCAGAAACTCAGGGCAACAGGACCCTAGTCCTTGTGGCTCCCTGGCCCTGCCCCTCCTGGTGCCATGATGGAGGTATCTGCTCCACCCATCACAAAGCTTTCAGGCCCAAGGAGAAAGTAACGACGGAAAGAGCTGCCCCCTGACCAGGTTGCACATGCTGAAACCCCCTGGCAGGTGGTGTGTGTATTTCTCTTCTGAAAGGGAGCCTGGGAAATGCTCCTCCCTGGGCACACATCGCTGTCGCCACCCAACCACAAAGGGGCCGACACAGAGAGAGAGAAGACATTTGGAGCAGGCCACAGAAACCTCTGCTGCCCGTTTCATGTCATGACCCCACCACGGGGAGTGCAGCCGCAGCTCCCAGGAGCAGCCTGTCCTGGACAGGTAGCGGAGGTGGCGGAACAGGACGTGATCCCTGCCCACAGAAGAGCTGAGACCACACGAAGGGCAGAGTACATGGGCCCCTACGTGGCCTGGTCCCTCCTGCTGGGCCACAGGCCCTGGAGTCCACCCTGTGGATGTCCTCCCAACATGGTCCCCCTGAGCCTACACGGAGGGGCTGGCATCTGGTCCGGAGCTGAAGCCCAGCAGGGGCCTCACGTCCACCCGAATTCTGAGACAGCATCTGCCTGGGCAGCATAAGCCAACACTCCACTCTAAGGGGAGTGAGGCGTGTCCACAAGCCAGCACAGTCAGCGAGGCGTGTCCTGCGTGGCCAGCACGGAGCCCCCAGGGCTGGTCACTCAGATGTCCCTAGCACTCTGCCTGCCCCCGCTTGAATCTGTAGCCCTGCCCAGCACCTGTCCGTGCTTCCTCTCTCTACTGAGCCCTGGGGTAGGCCTCAGCGGTTCCTGATGGACTGCTGATAATGGCTGCAGGGTGCTTACCAGGTCCAGGGCAGACAGCCCATGGCAGGAACCCAGGAAAAAGCACCCAATCTCTCCCCAGACCTGGGCCGGGAGCTGCAGCTGGGCACAGCTGTCTGGGCAGCCGTCCTTCAGAGACTGAGTGCCGAGAGGAAGTGTCCATTCCTGGCCAGGTCCCCCAAATGCCCACTGTGGTAGGTTGGGGGGAGGAGAGCAGTGTTTTGTGCTTTGAATTGTCATATATTTTCCAGATTCTTTTTCAGTATGTATGTCTTTGACTTTAAAAGTAAAAATTTTTAAGGCTTATTTATTTATTTGAAAGAGATACAGAGAAGGATCTTCCGTCTGCTGGTTCACTTCCCAGATGGCCACAACGGCCTGGGCTGGCACAGGACAAAACCAGGAGCCAGGAGCTTCATCTGGGTCTCGCACTTGGATGGCAGAGGCCCAAGCACTTGGGCCGTCCTCCGCTGCTTCCCCGGGCGCGGGCGCGGGCGCGGGGAGCTGGGTCACAAGAGGAACAGCTGGAACTCGAATCAGCACTCATGTGGGATGCTGGTGTCCAAGGCAGCACTCAGCTTGCTGTGCCACACGCCAGCCCCATTAGTAAACGTTACGAAGGGTTTCCCCTCCCACCCCCTTTCTCTAAGCTGGCGTTCCAGATAGGGGAGGAATTGTCCCTAGCTCCTGAGGCGCTCCCCGCGTTCCATGTGCTCTCAGCAAGCCCTTCCCAAACCTCCGCCAGGCTCCCTGGGGTGGGGACGGAGAAGGGGCTGTCCAGCCCCTCGTAGGCCTTTCTCCCCGCTCCCCAGGCTGCCTCGCCCCTCCCCACCCAGCCACATCCTCTTGGGCACCTTCTAGGAAACCTGAGAGGATGAGCCCACCGCGCACCCCCCATGTGCAGGCCCCAGCCTCCCAGGCGACTCCCGCCCTCCCTTGCAGGCTGGTGGCCCAGATTCACGATGAGCTGCTGTTTGAGGTGGAGGACGCGCAGATCCCTGAGTTTGCAGGTGAGCAAGGCAGCACAGGGACCCTTTCAGCAAAGAAGCCTTGATGCCCAGGAAGTGCCTCCCTGTCTGTCCCTTCTCAGCCCCTCCCCAGACGGGGGTGGGGGGCAGCCCGGCTTGGGGACTCCTGAAAGGCCAGGCAGGCTCCATGGTGTGACAGTGTCTCAGAGGGCCTCGTGTGATCTAGAGCAGTTGCCACTGTAGCTGCCGTGCCTCGACCTCGATGGCTGGGGGTGGGGGCACGGGCTCTGTTAAGTGGGGAGTGGGACTGGGGCCGCCCAGGCTGGCTGGGCGTGGGGGCACGGGCTCTGTTAAGTGGGGAGTGGGACTGGGGCCGCCCAGGCTGGCTGGGGGTGGGGGCACAGGCTCTGTTAAGTGGGGAGTGGGACTGGGGCCGCCCAGGCTGGCTGGGAGCTGGCAGGAGGTGTTCTTGGTGAGCTGGTGGTTTCTGGGACCCTCTGGCCTGGTCTCATCCTGCTCCCCTGCCAGCCCAAGGGCTTCTTGGAAGCCAGGTGCTATCTGCCCCACTTAAGAAGGGCCAGGCCCCCAAAACCATAGTCACTGGCCTCTTAGAGGCTGCAGTTCTGACCTCACCGGTGGGCACAGCAGCTCCCAAAGGCCTGTGCCCGGGGCTGGGCAGGCAGGTGGGAACAGAAGCTGCAGCCCGCCCAGGAAGGGCCGGGAAGGGCTCCAGAGCAGGTGTGTGCCAGTCTTGGGCCACCCTTGGGCATTGAGTGCCCATCAAGTAGGGGTGAGGCCGCCATCCTTGGCATGTGCCCAGCAGGCTCCTCCGGGAGCGGGGCTCGGCCACTGGAAAACCGTGCCCGACTGCCCGCTTGGAAATAGGCCTGAAGACAAAGCTGTCCTGTGTGCCCGGCTGCCAGCTGAAAGAGAAAGCGCAACTCCCCAGCTCCCTTGTTCTCTGGGTGGATCCTGAGGCAGGCGGCTGGGGGCCAGGTGCCCCTCGTTCCTGTGGGTTCACAGTGTCCCACTGCAGCCAGGTGCCAGGCAGGACCTCTGAGGGCTGGGTGGTAGGACACACCCACCAGCGAGCGTGCAGGCCATGCCAGCATTGCCACTGGCCACAGACCTGCTGCGCTGGGGTGGGCCAGCAGCAGAGAGCCCCTCTCTGGGCAGTAGCTACTTTGGGTTTCCCATTCATTAATTGCCCCTTTCTCTGCAGACCCAGCAGGTCCCAGCCAGCATGGTGCCCTGGCTCTCCAGCCCTCCTGCAGCTCCCCAGAGAGCTGCTGGCCCACGGGGGTGGCAGCAAGGGGGGTGGCAGCAAGGGGGCTGGAAGACAAGGGGGCTGGCAGCAAGGGGGCTGGAAGACAAGGGGGCTGGAAGGTTGGCTGGGGGTTGCTGTCACAACCTCTGTATCCAAGTGTCACATAACAAAAGGGCAGAATGAAATACTAGTTCTTATCAGAGGAGTATAAGAGAAGCAGCTGGCTGGCCATCCCTCCCCACCAGGAAGTTGCCCCCACAGGCTCCAGTCACAACCACAGACCCCACAGGGCTCTGGCCGCCCTGGGCCACCTCCCTCCTCCTAGCCCCAGGACCTTCTGGACAGAGTGGGAGGCGCCTGCCTCCACCCACCCAGTTGTCCCAGCTGGGATGAACTAGGGTTCTGGGGTGAGGGGCGGTGGCCAGCACAGAGCTACAGGTGAGCTAGGCCAGGAAGAAGGGCTGGAGGGCAGGCTGTGTTCTGGGCCGTGGACACGGCCAGTGGGAGATGGGACCAGCCGTGGGGGGTCATGCGTAGCGATCCAGGCCCCCAGACGAGCTGGTTTGAGTGACCATGCGGGCATAGGACACAACCAGGGGGCTTGAGGACGTGGGCCTGGGGTTTCTCCTGTCCTAGATTTCTGGTTCCCAGGCTAGGAAAACAGTGGGGGGGGGGGGGGTCTCAGCACAGGTAGGCTGCAGCTGCTGTTTTCTGTTCCAGCTCTCGTCAGAGGGACCATGGAATCCTTGCAGCAAGTGCCAGCGCTGGAGCTTCAGCTGCAGGTACGGGGTGGGGACGCGCAACCCTGCCCAGCCCCCCAGCTCTGACACCCATGGCCAGAGCCGTCCAGTGTGGGAGAGGAGATGGCACCCCAAGGACAGGAGAGCCGCCCTGGGCCCAGGACTGCACCCAGCCCTGCTGTGGAGCCCTCGCCGGGTGGTCGTGGGCCTGGTGAGAAGCCACACCGGGCGTCCTCGGCCCCGGGAACCCACTGCACCTGCTCAGCAGTAGGGGCACCTGCGGGAGGCAGGGCTGCGGCTCAGGCCAGCCCCTCCCTTCCTGTCAGAGGGAGCTGTGGAGGTCTGATCCAGGGCCTTAGGCAGAGCCCACTCCGGATCAGGCCCTGAGAGAGGGCTCTTCCACCTCCTGGTGCCACTCAGAGCCAGCAACTGCAGGCCAGCACCCTGAGGTGGTCAGCACAGGTTGGCCCAGGACACCTTACCCACTCTAGGACACCTTGCCTGACCAGCGGTGAAGGCCACTCGCTGGCACCACGGCCTGGCAGGTGGGAGGTAGATGTGGAGCAGCCCTGTTACCGGGTGTGTGTGTGTGAGGAGTGTGTGCCAAGGCACTGTGGGCCCTGTCCACACCTATATGGGCCTGGGCGGTGGCTGCTGACAGCTGGCTTGGGTCTGGGTTCACCTCTGGCTGCTGCCCACAGGTGCCCCTAAAGGTGAGCCTGAGTGTCGGCCGCTCATGGGGACATCTGGCACCACTGCAGGAGGCCGTGAGCTCTGGGCTCAACCCGCCGCACTGAGTCTCCCAGCAACAGCCAGGCCGCCCAGGGCCCCTCAGCACCCACCCTCAGGGCCCCCTCAGCACCCACCCTCAGGGCCCCCTCAGCACCCACCCTCAGTGCCTGCATTTTTCGCCTTCATTTTGTGTGTAGCCCCAGGCAACAGTGGGAGGAGAGAACTGGTTTCCACCGGCCCATCATTGTGTGGCCTTCCCCCAAGGTCACCAGTGGGCACCTTGTACCAGCTCCAAGACTTGCACAGACCGTGTTAACCCTTTAGGACCAGGACTGGCTGGTCGTCTCCTGGAGTAAATGCATTATGCAAAGCCATCCTCCTTGTCCGAGTGGATTCTTCCTGTGCCCCAAATCCCGATGACTCACCTGCAGCTCTCCCGTGGACCCCAGGGTGGAGGTGGGTGAACTCTCCGTAGCTCGGCAGCCGCTCACCACTGGGCAAGTGCTGAGGTGCCGCCAGCAGCCTGAAGCTCAAGCTGCCATCCCTGCTGTCTCAGCCTCAGCATGGCCCAGAAGGGTGTGTGTCGTCTTCCCAGCGGGCCCACGTGCAGCCAGCCCCATGATGGGTCCCAGAGAACACAGACTGCCGGCAAGCCCCATCACTGGCCTCATATTCCAAACCCAGGCTTCCAGAGCCTAGGATGACCAGGAGTCCTCGAAGGGACCAGCACCTCAGGAGCACCCAGCCTAGCCCTGTAGCAGACCCCAGCACCGAGGCCCCAAGCCTGGAGGACAGAACAGAGAACCTGGCTGCCACCCCCCAGGGCAGCGAGGATGGGGGGGGGCAGCTTTCTTCGTTGTCCAGGATGAGTCCAGGACCACAGCACAGGCGCTGAGGGCAGCAGAGCCCTCAGGGAGTGGCTCCGGAAGATCCTGGACCCTGTGAGCCAACGGGCAGAGCCCTGGCACCCGCCTCCTAGACCCACCAGCCCAGCCCCCTCCTCTCTGGGCCCACCCCACTCCGGGCACAGCTCTGCACGGCCTTCATTCAGGGAGCACCCGCAGGCTTGAGCCCCGTCTCTGCCTGGGGACCCCAGAATGCCAGCCCGACCCGGCCCAGAAGAGGCACTTCCAGAAAGCACACAGCCAGGTTCCTTCAACTCCAGTTTTATTGAAAAACAGCAGCATTGGGGGCCGTGCAGGAGAAGGGGCACACACCCACCCCGGCCCCCCAGCCCGCCACCTCGGGAACTTGGCTTGTGCCCCAGGAGCCTGGCGGCATTTTTGGCACCTCCCGGGGTCTCAGGACAGCCCTGCCCCCTTCGTGGGCTCACAGGAATTTCAGGAACAAACCACAGCAGGCGAGACCCACGCTCACCCAGGGACGCGCCCAGCCTGGCCACACGCCTGTCGGAAGCCCAGGTGTCCCGCCTGTGTAGTCTCCAGCAACCCTGCCCGGCTCCTGGGCCCAGAGGGAGAGAGACAGAGAGCCAGGGCCAGGCAGAGGCTCACCTGGCTCCTAGAGCCCTGCCCAGCAGAGATGCACGGCCGTGAGCAAGACCAGGTGCTACATGGACCGCCCTGCTGTGGCCCACGCGGGCTGGGCACAGGAGGGAGCGGACACCGCCAGGGCCCCCACCGGACCCCTGCTGCTTGCCCTTCCCTGCCCAGATCAAGAGGAGGCCCTTCCCACTTGCTCCCTTCCCTGCCACACACGTGCACACACACGCACAGGCTGACAGATACATATATGCTCACAGGTATGTGGTGCACACGTGTGCACCTACACGCTGACACTCTCACACATGCACGTGTACATTCACACACACACGCTCATATTCGCAGGTACACTCCATCTTTAAAATGGCTAATTATTGCTGTTTTAAAAAAATTCCTCCAACCATGGTATGCAGGCTGTGTCCTCCTGTACCCCGAGCTCAGGGTGCTCCGGGCCATGCTGCCTGCCTGGCAGCAGACGCCACCCACGACTGGAAACAGCGGCGGCAGCATCAAGAGGCAAACATATTCCAGGGCTGCCCCACGCCCAGCTAGAACTGACACCCCAGAAGCATCCGCCAGGAGCCACCAGCACAGGAGGATGGCCAGTGGCCACCATGGACTCACCGAAGCAGCTTCCAGCAGTCGTGAGCCAGCAGCTAGGATAGGAGATGGCAACGACACTCCTCCAGATGGGGACAGCAGTGGCTTGGGGACCGGACAGCCAGCCTGGCACCCCATGGCTGAGGGGCCAGCTTCGGCTTCCAGGTAGTCCCACAAACCAGCCAAGCCCAGAAATCCAAGCTCCCAGGCCCCTGGCCACAGGCTCAGCCCTGGAAATGGCTCCAGTGAGGGCCTGGGCTCAGGGCCACACCACGCAGGCAGGCAAGTGACAGGAACAGTGTGCCTCCCAGGGGCCAGATCAGGCCCTTGTGGTCTAGGGGGCTTCCTTAGCACAGCACTGTCCAGAAGTCCCCCTCAGGAAGGTGACATCCCCTCTAGGGCCTGTGGATTCCTGCCCCTCCTCTGAAGGACACCAGAGCAGGGTGGGGGTCACCCAGCACCCACTGTCTGCTCACTGTCCGCTGTCTGCCCGTGGGGAATGAGGCTACGCAGCAGCGAGGTGTTGTGGGGCTGTGGGCGCTTAGCCCTTCCACACTGGGGCGCCCCCCCCACCCTGGCCCTTCCCAAGGGGCCTCACCTGAGGCCAACCCCCTCAGGGCAGGGGGAGAAGCCAGGGATGGTTCAGCAGCCACACACCAGGCCCGTGGTGACCTACAGCTGCCGGTCAGGTGCGTGCTGCAGGCTCATGGAATGCTGACATTCTGGGACCCCCCCTCCCACCTTCCACCCTCCCCACTCCAAAAACAGAGGCCTCAAACAAACAGCAGAAATCCTGGGAGTCCCAGACCCCTGAGCACAGTGTAGGCCACAAGCTGGCTTCCCCTGGGTCTCTGTAGGCCAAACTGAGGGGTGGGGTGGAGAAGGGACCCAGGAGCAGCCAGCTCGGGAGAGGCTGCTCGGGACACAGGACAGCGGGACCCCTGGAGGCCTCACGGAGGTAGAAGTAATGTCAGGATTTCTACATAGAATTCAAGTCAGTGCACACGTGCAGAGCAGTGAGCTCTGGGGCCGCAGGGAGGGGCAGGCCAGGACAGGCCCAGCTCTGCCCTGGTGGACGTGGGGGCCTGCGGAGCCGCGCACTGGCCTGGTGTGGCACAGGTGCCTCTGCCCACTGCAGGGGCCTGGCAGCAGGTCCTGGGCTCATGCTTACCCTGCCACCTCCTCCCGCGTCTCCGCCAAATCCTGGCAGCAACCAAGGAGCCGCACAGAACGGCCAAGCGGCCGTGCAGCAGGGAGAGGTCCCCACAGGCAGAACAGGGAGGGACACGCCTCCACCCCGGGCCCTCTGCGGGCTCTGCCAGGGGCCCACCCCAAGTCAGTACCAAGGGTGCACCTGGCCCCAGGGCCCTGCCCAGCCTCAATGGGCTCCCAGGACCCCTCCCCACCGACACACCCAGGGACTGTGGGCTCCAAAGACGTGGGTCAGAGAAGGCAGCCGGCGTCCGCGGCTCCTGCTCAGCCCTGCCTCGCCCTCCTGCCCCGCGAGCCGCCTCAGTGCACCCACACCAAGACCAGCCTGGAGCCGAAACCAGACAAAGAGGAAAAAGGCACAACTGTTTGTTTCCATTTTGCTAAAACACTTTACGTCTGTCTGTATAATCCCAGTTAACAAAATCTGAGAGCTGCAAGAAAATAGGGGGCCGATTTCTGTACAGTCTACAAAACTCCCCTCCCACAGCAGGGACCGGGCGCCACCAGGAGGGAAGGTAGGGGCGCGGGGTCTGTACAGTGGGGGTGTGGGGTCTGTACAGTATTCCATAGACACCTCCACTGCCAACAGGGAAGCTGGGCTTGTTCCATGAAGTCACTACGCGCTGAACGTCCCTCCACGGGCCAGCACGTGTCCCTTGATGCCCGGAACCCAGCTCCGTGGCCACCCTGCTTGCCTCTCCCCTCCCCCAGGCCGCACACCATGGGGTCCAGGTGGAAGTGTATGCCCCTCCCGCCATGCAGGCCAGACCCAGGCTCAGCTGGACACACAGGTGCTGCCAGCTACCACTCCCTTCCACCTTGGGAAGGAGACACCAGGGAACACAGCCAGCCCTGAGCTGGCCACAGTGGGACATCCAGCCCTGCCCTTCCCCCTCCTGCCCCCCCTCGGGCTGCAGGACTGCCGGGAGGGGGGGGCTGGGAAGGGAGGGTCCTCCCGAGCCAGGAATGCTCTTGGGCGGGAAACCAGGCTGCATCAGGGCCTCCCTCTGGATTCTGAAACCCTCCACCCACCCCATCGAGCTGGGCCAGACGCAGTGCACATTCTAGCACCACACAAGTGTCTCAAGGTACAAACTACCCTTTTGTCCCAAGATTAGTGTCATGCAGAGTGCTATTCTGTCTAATAACTTAGTAGAAACGGGTTGGTGTCAGGCTGGGAGAAGCTGTGGCTCCACGTTGTGGCGGTGGCCCGGGCTAGCAAGATCACAGGGCAAACCCGGCAGCGGGCACAAGGTCCTGGGAACGCATGGGAGAGGCCACCTGATCTAGCAGGTGTGGGGGAGGGGTGTCCCTTCACCGCAGGGCCCCCACCACGCTGTGCTACAGGATGCTATGGAAACCACGCCCGGGCAAGACACCAGTCAGCCAAGCCCAGGCAGGAGAGGGCAGACTAAACGGGAAGAAGTGAGATGACGTCAAAGCAAAGCAGGAGAGGATGGAGCCGGGCGGTGGGGGTGGCCCGAGCCCCTGCACAGCAGGCCCTCCGGAGGCCGGCTCAGGCTGGGGCAGGGGTGCTCACCAGCCATGGTCCCGGGGTCCAGTCTGGGCAAGACAGCAGGGCAGGATGCTGTGGGCACGCGGCATGCTGCAGCCAGGCCACATCGTCAGCATGCACAGAGCAAAGCAGGGCCCACAGCCAGCCAGCCCAGCAGGCCACACTTCTGGGCGCTGTCGGCTGAGCCGTAGCCTGGCCGAGGGCCAGGGGTCTGCTCCTCGAGGCTTCGTCACAGAGGTTCTGTGCTCGGTGGGCAAGGCTGGGCCCTCCACGACGGCGGCGGGCGTCAAGGGGATCCACAACGCGGCTCTTCGAGGCGTGACAAGCCTGGGGAAGGTAGGGGGCCGTGGCTGCGAACCACCCACCCCCACCAACGTGTCACAGGTGAGCAACAGCCCGGCGCCCCCGAGAACCAGCCAGATACTGCGTGATGTTGAAAAAGGGAGACCCGACACACACGCCAAGGTGAGCGTCTGGAAGCAGGGCCGCGCCGGGCGGCGGGCAGGCGGGCACAGGCGGACGGGGGCGGCTGGGTGGCGGGTGGGCAAGCGGCAGTGGTCACTCCTCACGCAGCTGCAGACGGTAGCGGTGGTAGCGGACCTGGAAGAAGAGGCGCTCGGCCAGCGAGAGGGTCATGCCAGGCAGCACGTAGCGGTCACTCGCGCCCATGTGTCTGAAGCCCAGGGACTCGTAGAGCTTGTGGGCGGCCACCTTGACAGCCGTCGTGCCCAACACCACCGCGGAGTAGTTCTGCACCACGGCGAACTCCAGCACCTTCCGGCCCAGCGCCTTGGCGATGCCCTTGCCGCGGAAGCGCGCGTCCACGGACATGCGCAGCAGCTCCACCGTGTTGTCCTCCTCGTGGGCCCGTGCGGCCACAATGCCCACCACGTTGCCGTCCAGCACAGCCACCCAGAAGCAGGAGCCTGCGGGGGGAGAGGGCGGTCAGCGACACCTGGCCAGGAAAGCCAGGGAGAGCCCCTGCCCTCGGGCCGCCCGCTCCAGCCCGACACTGGGCCGGGCCCACCTGCAGCTCTGCTGCAGCTGGGTGGGAGGCCGTGATGCGGGCTGGGCAGGGTTACCTGGCTCCTGCAGACACTGAGCAGAGCACCTAGCCTGCCTGCTCTCCGAGACCTGGCCCTGCCCCTCCCCGGAACCCAGCACCGGGCCCTGCCCCTGCCCCTGCCCCTCGGCTGGCTGCACGGGCTCTGCTCCCAGCCGCCCAGTGCTTCGAGGCAGGGCCCTAAGGGAGTACCTAGAAGCAGCCCTTCAGTGAGAACACTTCATAAACCCAGTGGGGACCGGGGATGGCCACAGGCACCACCAATCCCCCTCTCCCGGGGAGTGAGCCTGGTGCCACACAGCATGGCCCAGTCTCAGCCTCACTCCCCAGGAAGGGGAGCCTGGGGCTGGGGGAGAGGCCAGCAGGGCACAGGCCACGGGGATAGCCTGCGGCACCTCTGGGGGCTAAAGGTGGAGGTGACCCTCAGAGACCTCTCCAAAGGCCAGGTGGTGTCTGCCATAAGCCAGGCCCACGTGTCCCCACCTGTGCCACTCCCATACCCCGAGGCTGTGTCCCTCTGACCACACTCCATCCCCCACCCCCACCCCAGCCCACTGCCCGGGGGGAGAGCCTCCCTTCTCATTCAGGGTCAGTCCCGAGCCCTGGGATGTGGCTCAGAGGTGCCACTGTCCCTGAGCACCCACCTTCCACAGCAGGGAGAGGAAGCAGCCTGGGTGAGTAGATGCCAACCCACAAACAGTGCAGGGGAGCCCCCAGCGTCTGCCCAGCCAGGGCCCCTGTGCCCAGCTCTCCTCTCTACCTGCATCTCCAGTGGGGGTCCCAGGCCAGAACCACTCGCCTGCCCGCTGCCCTGGGGCCCTGAGGACACAGCACAGGTCAGGACAGTCCTGGAGGATCAGAACCCTGGCTGGCGCTGCGCGGCACTGTGTGCCTCACCCCCGCCTCTCACTTTCCCCATGTGCACGGAGCTCCCAAATCCAGCCTCGGCCCAGGAGGTCTTCCTGCACACCCACCAGGTGTCACAGAGGGGCAGGCAAGAGCCCCCACTTCCCTCGTACACCCAAAGAAAGCAGAGCCCTGGGCAGGGGCCTCATGCCACACGTCCGAGCCCCCTTACACCACACTCGGCTTAGCCCCCGGCGGTCCCGCTCCTGCAGAAGAGAGGCCAGGGCTGCAGGGGGGCGGATCAGATGCCTTGTTTGGACTTGGAGAGGTTCCAAGAGGGCGGCCGAGGCCAGCTGAGTGGGAGCAGGGGCCCAGGACGGGACCGCTAGGCTGCAGCCAGCGGGCACGACCGCCAGCAGTGCCAGAGCCGGCGCTCTTCACACACAGACTGACCTCCAGCTGGATCCTAACCAGCCAGCCTGTCTCCCTTAGCCCACAGGGGCCGGCACAGAAGAGACCACGGCCCAAGAGGCCTCCCAGGACCCACGCAGCCCCCGGTGCCCCTCTGGACCTAGCTCCCAGTCCCTCCCACCCCAGGCGGCTGGGGCCACTGAGACAAGACCAGGCCCCCTATCTGCCCCCCCCCCCACCCAGCATCCTGCCCTCGAGTGTCCTCTGACGCCTCCCAGGTCCTGTGCTGCCGTCCAGGCCCCTCCGGCCACGTCCCAGGAACCAACAAGGCACACCAGCCAGGACCAAGGGGAGCCTGGAAAGGCCCCACCCTCTCCAGAGGGCGCCGGGAAAGGTATCCTGCAGCCAAAGTGGGGCCAGCCGCTCAAGCTCCCACCATTGGCCAGGGGTCTCTCACCCTGCCTGGCCCTGCCCCGGGGTCTGGGGGCCTCGCTGGAAGGAGGGCAGGGAGGGGCGAGGAGACTGGCAACTCCCCCACCCCGGACTCACCCGGCGGCTTCATGTAGTACTGCTCTATGTCAGCCATGTCTGTGTGCAGCGCGCACTCGAGGTAGGCCAGGATCACCTTGCGGCTGTAGTAATAGCGCAGGGCCAGCAGCCCGGCCGGCACGAGGCACGTCAGCACCAGCGAGCGGGTCACGGCGAAGCAGAGCGCTGCGGGCAGGAGGGGCGCGGGTGAGCGGCCGCGCGGGGTGAGGGAGGCCAAGACGGCTCCCTCCCGGCGCAGGAGCGCGGGGTCGCTTCACACGCGGGTTTCCACTTCTCCCCACGCTCAAACTTCCCGCCCAGTACGTGCGCTGCGCTGGGAGCCTGGGGCGGAGGTCGCAGGCCTCCCAAACCGCCCGGCCTCCGCCACGCAGCTCCGGCCGCCTCCCTCGTAGCCCCCAGCCCGTAGGGGAGCTTTGCCCTCGGCCTTACCCACTCGCTTGGGCCTGGAGCAAAGACAAGCAGCGGCCCCTGCCAGGCCTCACAGGGCTCCTCCGGCTTGGGGGGGAGGGGGTCCCCGGGATCCGCTAGGACCCCGTCCGATCGCACCCTGAGCCAGCCTCGGGGAGCGAGGACAGGCCCGAAGCGACCCGCCACTGCTGGCGGCCGCATCCGGCTGCGGAGGCGGCCGACGCTCCCGGGCTGAGTCGCCGCTGCTGGGTGACCTTGGGAGATCCGCATGGCCTCCCCACCCCCACCCCCGACTCCAGCTCCTCGTCCGTAAAATGGGAGAGCCCTCCCCGGCACCCCGCGGAGTTGCTGTCATTCCCCTCCATAAATTAGCACCGGGAGCGGCAGAAGCGGCCTCCCCCGCCCGCAGATTATATATATAGTCGCACGCCGGGCGCGGGGCTCCGCAGCGCGCTGCCTTCCCCACCCCCACGCGGGACGCCCCCGGCCGGGGACGTGCGGCGGGGACGCCGGGGCGCCCGTCCTCCTCCAGCCCGCGGACCCTGCCCCCTGGCCTGCGCTCGTTCCCACGCCCCGGCCCAGCGCGCCTTGGCTAGGAGCCCGGGCCGGCCCCGCCGCCGCAGCGAGCGGGAGGGCGCGCGGGTGCGTGTCCGCCTCCTCCCCGCCGGGCCCCCAGCCGGGCTCCGAGGTGGGGTCCGCAGCGCAGCCGGCCCGCGCCCCCGCCGCGCACTGACCCGCTAGCAGGGCGTAGAGCAGCTGCGTGCGCGGGTGCTGCCGCAGGCCGCGGAAGGCCGTGTTGGGGATGCGCTCCAAGATGCCGTCGTAGAAGATGCGGCGCGCAGCCTCCTGCTCCGCGGCGCGGAACTCGCGGATGCACACGCCGCGCCCCTCCGGCGGCCCCGCGCCCCCCGCCCGGCCGCGGGGCTGGGCGCCCGGGGCAGGTGGGGGCGCGGCGGCCGGCCCGGGGGCAGCGGGCAGCGGGGGCCACATGGCGCCGGCGGCGGCGAGCAACGCGTCCTTCCTGGCCCCCGGCAGCGCCTCATGATCCTCGGCGGCCACGATCTTCGTCTCGCAGACCATGTCGGGAGGCCCACAATGCATGCACCCGGCCGGGCGGCGCAGCGCGGGGACGCGGGCCAGGCGCGGCGGGCACAGCCGGGCCCAGGGCAAGGGCGCGGCGCCCTCGGACCCGCGGCGGCGGCGGCGGCGGCGGCGGCGGTGGCGGCGGCGGCGGCGGCGGCGGCGGCGGCTCAGGGGCGCGGGGCGGAGGCGGCGGGCGGCCGGGGCGCGCGCAGGGAGCTGCGCCGCATTTTGGAGAAGTATTTATAATGCAGCGGCGCCGGTGCAGTCGCGGCGCCCGGGGTCCCGCAGGGTCCTAGCGTCCACTGCATTGGCTGCCGAGGGTCACCATGTGATCTCGGGGCTGGGAGCAGACGCCGCCCCCGCGCCCGCCCGATGGCACACTTCGGCGCTGCGCCGCGGCCGGGCGGCGCGGGTATCCGGGCCGCGACAGGGCGTCCGGGCCACGGGAATTGCCGGAGGACGAGCGCGCGCGCGGCGGAGCTGGCGGCGGCGTGGCCAGGGGTCCTGGGCGCGGGACGCTCCGTGGGGCTCGGGGCAGGGCCGGGACGGGGAGCGCGTGATGGGTGCTTCCCGCCCCGCCCCCTGCACCCCGCGCCGCTGCCGCTGCGCGCGTGCGGGGGGCGCCCGACTCGGCCGGGCCGCCAGTGCTGCAGCGCGCCGCGTCCTCGAGCGCAGTCACGGCCGCCTCTCCGCCTCCGTCTCCCGCCCTTTGTCTGAAGGCGGCGCCCGGCGGAGGCCACGGAGGGGGCCCGCCGGCTCCCCGGGAACCCGCCGCTGGGATCGCAAGGGCTGCAGGGGCGGGGGGCGCGGTCGGAGCTGGGTCTGACGCCCACGCCGCCCGGAGCCGGCGCGTCTCGGCGCAGCACAGCGACCCTCCTCCCAACCCCCAACACACCCCAGCCCCAGCTTCCCGCAGCGGCTCCGGGGGCGCAAGGCCTGCAGGACCCCTCCCGGCCGGGCCCCAGCCCTCCGCGGTCGGCGCATGCGCCCCATGGGCTCGGTGCAGGTGCAGGGGGCTCTCTGCGCAGGGGGCTCTCTGCGTAGAGCCACGTCCTCCCGTGAGACTCACAGAAGATACGGGCTGGGGCGGGGGTGAGAGGGGAGGGGGCTAAGGCGGGGCAGGTGGTCGCAGACCCCTCCCCGGTGCGTTACAGACCCAGCCGCCCTGCACCCGCAGCCCGCGTCACTCACAGGGAGGGTGGGAGAGTTCCCCACCCCCTGCAAGGTTGGGGCAAGACCCTCGGCCTGCGTTGGGCGGTGGAGCGGGCTCAGAGGGGCGCTAAGGTCACGCAGGGGCCGGCAGGGGCGCGGCCCACCCGAAGGGATTTCGAGGGAGCGGGAAGCGGAATCGGTCCACAACGGAGGGCCCCGGCCCCCGGGCGGCGGGACAGCCAAGCCCCGCGCCAGTGTCGCCGGAACGCCGCAGGGACACGGCTGGGCTTCCTCCGTCACCTTCCTGGAGCTGCAGGCGCAATCGGAGAGTCTCGCTGGTCTGTCCAGCGAGAGGTGCGCCGGTGCCTGGCGCCGGCCGAGGCCTCTGGCCAGCTGCAGCGGCTTCGCAAGGTCCGCCAGGTGGACTGCGCGCAAAGGGCGCCGTAGCCGACAGCTCACACGGGGTGCAGGCGGAAAGGGGGTTCCGGGGACACACGGGGGCTAACGTGCCGGGTGGGGGGTCTGCGGGGCCAGGCCCACTACCGGCGGGAGCTCCTGAGCAGTGTCTGGCCCTTGACCCAGACTTGGGCATCCGGGACCTCAAGGCCTCGTGTGCCCTCAGCAAAGCGGTGCGGCCCCTTGCAGAGCCACATGCCAGCCTCAGGCCACCCCCAGTCGGAACCCACGCCTGCTCTGTGCCAGGGACCTGGGCTCTGGCTCCCCTCAGCCTGCCAGTGCAGGGTCCCTCCTTCCAGCCCACAGCCCCCGACAGCCCTGGTGAGCCCTGTGACCCTCCCCACCTCCCACCCCGACAGTCTCTGGGAAGGGGCGGGGCTGGAGCCCAGGGACAGCCACCGGGGGCCTTGGAGACCGGGTGGGGGCGGGGCTGGAGCCCACCTCTCTGCCCCAAGGGGAAGGCGGGGCTGGCAGCCAGCGGATGAGCACGGAGCACGGCACCGGGTCAGCCCGGGTCACTGCCAGCACCTGCTTCGTGGGGGCTCTGCACGGCCCAGGCTGTCCTCCCCGGGCCCTGCCCACTCTGGGTTCCCCGCCCCATGGTACTCACCTGGGAGCGCCTGCTGCCTCCGCTTGGGGGTTCCCAGAGTGAGCAGTGAGAGTGCAGACTGGGACCCCTGCCCAGGCCTCTGAGCACCGGGAGGCAGGGGGGCTCAAACCAGGATGTTTCCTAACCCACCGTGTTGGGGGGGCGGTCGTGGGGCCCGAGCACGAGGCTCAGAAGTGAAGGGGGCCTGGCCCTTGTCCTGGAGGTAGAAGCTGTCTCAGGCCATCCACCCTGAACGACCACCCCCACATAGAAGAAAAACTGGGAACACGCAGCCCAACGTTCCCCAACAGAGGAGTGAGGAAGCAGCACCAGATCTCCCCCAGGCGGAGGCCCGAGCGGGCGGGGGGGGGGCACCCGAGGCACCTGCAGCCCGCCGCCCCCCCTCCCCGTGGGCACCCGGCTGTGCCAGCCTCCTGGGGCTCTGCGGAGCGGCTGGCAGTGAGCAGAGGTGGGGGTGGCGTCTCCCAGGGCCAAGTGCTTGAGGCAGGGAGTGGAGGTCAAGGGGGCAGCCTGGGCGGGGCCCGCGGCCCTGCGGGCAGTCTGTCTTCAGGAAGTCCATGTCCCACACTCCCTGCGAGGCCACTTGGAAACGTGCTGAGGTCTGGGGAAGGGTGGGGACGCCCGGAGGCTTGGGCTTGCCCGGAGCATGGGGTGGGGGCTACTGGAGACCACGAGGATGACCTGTGGCCAGGAGGACAGTGCGATAAGGGCGGGCAATGGGGGAGGGGCGAATAAGGCAAACAGGAAGTCCAGGAGAACAAGCCGACCCAGAAGGGAATGGCTACTCCGGCCTGAGTCCCTGTTTACCCAGCACAGTATAGACGCTTGCATGTCTGAAAAAGGATTTACTTATTCACTGGAAGGGCAGAATGAGAGAGAGAGAGAGAGAGAGAGAGAGAGAGAGAGAGAGAGGCCTTCCATCTGCTGGTTCACTCCCCAGATGCCTGCGACAGCCAGGGCGGGGCAGGCTGGAGCCAGGAGCCGCATCCGGGTCCCCCACGTGAGGGGCAGGGACTCAAGGTCTTCAGGCTGCGGCCTGCCCCGAGGTCCCCCATCTCGCCTGTCCCCAGGGAGCTCCCCTGGCCTCACGGCTGTCCCCGCCCGGCCAGGTGCCCTGGAACTCTGACCAACCCCACTCTGCCCACGCTTCCCTGCCCTCCCTTGAACCCTGCTGTTTCCACACACAGCTGGAATGCAGCTGCCCTCAGCCCGTGGCCACTCCAGCTCGTCGGTCACTTCGGCGGCAGCCAGAGCGTCCTGGTTAGATGTCAGGCCACGCTCCCGAGGCGCTGAGCAGGCCGTGTCCTCCAGCCCCCTGCCCGGCTGCCAGGGTCCCCGAGTGCCCTCAGGACGGGGCCAGCAGCAGCTTCCTGGATGGCCCTCCGGCCTGGCTCCGGCCCTCCTCCACACCCCAGATAAGTCTCTCCAACGAGCGCCCGGCTGTACCCCATCTTTTTTATTGTAAGATTTATTTATTTGGAGGTCAGTTACAGAGAAAGGGAGAGAGAATCTTCCACCCGCCGGCTCACTCCCCCCATGGCGGGCCGGGAGCCTGGGAGGGGGCAGGGGCCCAAGCACTGGTGGTCTCTGCTTTTCCCAGGCCTCAGCAGGAAGCTGGATGGGAGGTGGAGCAGCTTTGCCCCATCCCCCACCTTTTATAGTGAGGAGCCCCAAGGGTTGCATGGGGTCAAGGCTACAGACCACGCACACCGGCGCACAGGCGGACGGAGGATGCCTGGCCCAGGGCACACAACAGTCTGGCCAGAGAAGCCTCAGCCGATGGCCTCCCCTGCACCCCGCTGGCATCGCCCAGGCCAGGAACCCCCGGCCTGGCGGCCTCCGTCCCCACGGGGTCCCTCGCTGGCCTGCTCCTGGGGCCGCAGGGATCCTCCCCACCATGGCGGGGCTGCCGAGGGAGCAGTGTGTGTGCACGGAGGACCTGGCCTGAGGGGCCCTGCCCAGACAGGTAACAGTGAGGACCACGGGCCCTGCCGCGGTGGAATGAGCGGGTGAAGGCCCGGGCACCTTCCTGGGACGGCGGTGCAGGTGCGCCCCGTGGCGCCAGGGCAGTGTCCCGCCTGCAGGGAGGGGCACTCACTCCCTCCACGCCCCCCTGCGCCCCTGGACTGCCTGTCAATAAGCACACACTGCTTTGATAAAAGCCTCTAATTTTACTAAAATATTTACAGAATGAACCAAGGGGAGGTGACTGCTCTGCGTGGAGACCCCTGGCAGGTGCACGGGGGCGTGGCTGTGAAAATGGACCCCTGCTAGCTCCCCTCATCCCCTCCCCCCTCCCACCAGCTCAGCCTCCCAGGAGCCCCCAGCCCCAGCCCCCATCGCGGACGAGCCTGTCTCCATGCCCAGCCTCAGGGCAAGGCAGGCCAGGGAGCGCCCCGGGGTGTGGCAGGCTGACAGCAAGGCCCTGGAGGGCCCAGCCGGGAGCTCCCAGGGACACAGCGGCACAGCGGAGGCCTGGAGCAGGGAGGCGGGACCGGGAATGCTGGTGGTGGTTATTGGCAGGGAGCAGAGCTGGCCCCGGGTGGTCAGCGCCCCGAGGGCCAGCAGGCGCACAGGGCCCGGCGTTCAGCCTGCAGCAGGAGGGTGTCTGTCTGCAAAGCAACAAGAGGCCATGAGGGTGGACACGGCCCGCCAGGGGTGGACGCAGCCTACCTGGGGTGGACACGGCCTGCCCAGGGTGGACATGGCCTGCCTGGGGTGGACACGGCCCGCCAGGGGTGGACACAGCCTGCCTGGGGTGGACGCAGCCTGCCCGGGGTGGACATGGCCTGCCTGGGGTGGACACAGCCCGCCAGGGGTGGACACAGCCTGCCTGGGGTGGACGCAGCCTGCCCAGGGTGGACATGGCCTGCCTTGGGTGGACACGGCCAGCCAAGGATGGACACAGCCTGCCCAGGGTGGACACGGCCTGCCTGGCATGGACACTGCCTTCTGGGATGGATGCAACCTGCCTGGGGTAGACACTGCCTGATCGGGGTGGACATGGCCTGCTTGGGGTGGACACGACCTGCCTGGCATGGACACAACCCACCTGGGGTGGACACTGCATGCCTGGAGTGGACACGGCTGCCAGGAACGCCCCCTTCCCTCGATGCCCCCCCCCCACCTGCGCTGGGTCCCGCCTCCCATTCCACTTCTTCCCACCAGATCACTCCTGACAGCTGCTCTCAGGAGGCCTTAACCCCCCCTCCCCAGGGACAAAAAGGGGCCGCTCCTCCAGGCGTGGGACCCGCCGGGGTCTCCCCTTCTTCCCACCTCCGTTCTCCCTCTTTCTGGTAGGAGCGCGAGTCCCTGTCGCCGCCGTCCCCGCCCTCCGGACAAGCTCTGGCCCTGGGCTGTTCCTCCCGCCCCCGCCCGAGCAGACCCTCCCGGGCGACTGCGTCCATTCCGGGTGCTCGGCGGCCGCAGGTGCAGCCCAGGCCGGCACCCCCACGGCGACTCGCGGGGCTCCCGGGCCCGCAGGGCTCACCCGCGCGTCCAGGCTGTAGGCCGTCTTGCGCAGGTCCTGCAGGGCGCGCTGCATGAACTCGAACGCGTGGCAGTCGACGCACGGGCGGCCTGCGGGGGGCGCGGGTCAGGGGGAGGGAGCGGCGGCCCGGCCCGGCCCCGCCCGAGGGGCCCCAGCCCGCCCACCGTCCCGGGGACAAAGGCCCGGGGCCGCGCCCGGCACCTACTCTGCGCGGGGACGGCGCTCCCGGCGGCGGGCTCGGCGCGCGCCCCGGCGCCCAGCAGCGCGACGCCCAGCAGCAGCAGCAGCAGCGGCGGCGGCCTCGGGGCGCGGCAGGCGGGCGGGGAGGCCATGGCCGGCGGAGGGAGCCCGGGGCCGCCCTGCGGAGGGCGCGCGGGGTCAGCGGCGCCGGCCCCGGGCCTCCCGCAGCCCGCGGCCTCGGCTCCCCGCCCCGGCCCCCGTCGCGGCCGGCGGCCGCCACCGCCCCAGGCCCTGGCCCCGCGCAGCCCTGTCCCGCCCGGCGACCTCGCTGGGCCCACCCCCGGGCCTGCGGAACCCCCGCCTGCCCGCCGACCCCGGGCACGACGGACCCACCGCCCCCCACCCAGCCCGTCCCCGAGCCCCGAGAACCCCACCCCGCAGCCCCGCCCCACCCTGCCCCTACCGCGGTTCAGGGATCCCGCGACTGGCGGCGCGGGCGACTCCGAGGACGGTCTGCGTGTCGCGCATGCGCCCCGCCTGGGTCCCCCCACCACCCCTCGGCGTCGTCATGGAAACCCGAGGCTGTGCGGGCCGCGGCTTAAAGGGACAGTCGCGTTGGGGTCCCCGCAGGCTCTCCCTGGAGCGGCGGATCCCAGAGCGCTGCGTGGAGGCGGCGGTGGTTACAGACGCGCAGCCTCCGTCCCCGGCCTGGGACAGCGGGGCGAGGCGAGGGAGCCCACCCACCTGCTCGGTGCCCAGGGAGCCCCCTCCCCGGGGCCGTGCGCTCGGGCCCGGGGCGCCCTCGCTGCGCCCGCGCCTGCGTCTCTCTCCTCCCGCGTGGGGCCCGGAGCCCCGGCCGCGTCTGCCCCCTGGCTGGGTTACCCGGGGGTCGCCCTGTGGGAGGGACGGGGCGCTGCGGGGACTCGCGACGCGCCCCGGAGGACGGCGCCGGCCTCGCGTGCGCCCCTCGCTCGGGCCTGCCGCACCCCGCCCGGCCCGACGGCGCAGGTCGCTGTGGCAGCAGGCGGGCGCGTGGCCGTCACACGCAGGCGAAACCGAGCTTGGGCGCCCCGCGCCCGCGTTCCCTGCGACGCCCGCATCCGGGCGCTGCTGGGCGGCCCCGCCTTCCGCGTCCCCTCCGCCCCTTGTCCTTGTCCCCTGGACGCCGCCAGCTCCGCCTGGTCCAGACCCCGCAGGTGCACGGGCTTCGGGCAGGTGGTGCGGTACAGTGGCCGCGGCCGGCCACGCGGCTGTGCGCCACGGCCGCCTCCGTGGCCCGCTCAACGCCGGCTTTCTGTCCCCAGCGCTCCAGCTCTGGCGCCTCACCGAAGGGGACCTTAGCGTGCTCGTCCCTTGGTGACCAGCTGCTGTCACTCAGCACGTCCTCAGGGCCCGTTCGTGGGCAGCGCGGGGCACTCGGACCCCATCCGCCTCTCTGCTGTCAAGGAGACCCCCCCTCCCCCAACTATTTTTTTAAGAGGGCACCTGCTGGGCAGGGGCTTGGGGCAGCTGTTAAATCACCTCCTGGGAGTGCCCGGTTGGAGTCCCGGCAGCCCCACGCGTGATCCCGCTTCCTGCAGGTGCTTGAATCCCTGCCGCCCACTCGGGAGACCCGGATGGAGCTCCTGGCTCTCGGCTTCAGATCCACACCCAGCTGCTGCGGGCGTCTGGGGGGTGACCAGGGGATGGACAATATCTCTCTCCCTCCCTCTCTCGCTCGATCTCTTCCTATCTCCCTCTCTCTCTCCCTCTCTATGCCCCTCCCCCTCTCTCTCCCTCCCCCTCCCTCTCTCCCTCCCTCCCTCCCTCTCTCCCTCTCTCCCTCCCTCTCTCCCTCTCTCCCTCTCTCTCCCTCTCTCTCCCTTCCTCTCTCTCCCTCTCTCTCTTCCTCTCTCCCTCTCTCTCTCTCCCTCCCTCTCTCTCCCTCCCTCCCTCTCTCCCTCTCTCCCTCCCTCTCTCTCCCTCCCTCTCTCTCCCTCCCTCCCTCTCTCCCTCTCTCCCTCCCTCTCTCCATCTCTCCCTCTCTCTCCCTCTCCCTCTCTCTCCCTTCCTCTCTCTCCCTCTCTCCTCTTCCTCTCTCCCTCTCTCTCTCGCCCTCCCTCTCTCTCCCTCCCTCCCTCTCTCCCTCTCTCCCTCCCTCTCTCTGTCCCTCCTCTCTCCCTCCCTCTCTCTGTCCCTCCCTCTCTCTCCCTCCCTCCCTCTCTCCCTCTCTCCTCCCTCTCTCCCTCCCTCCCTCTCTCCCTCCCTCTCTCTCCCTTCCCTCCCTCTCTCCCTCTCTCTCTCTCTCCCGCCCTCCCTCCCTCTCTCCCTCTCTCCCTCCCTCTCTCTCCCTCCCTCTCTCCCTCCCTCCCTCTCTCCCTCTCTCCCCCTCCCTCTCTCCCTTTCTCTCTCTCACCCTCTCTTCCTCTCTCCCCCTCCATCTCTCCCTCTCTCTCCCTCTCCCTCTCTCTCCCTTCCTCTCTCTCCCTCTCTCTTCCTCTCTCCCTCCCTCTCTCCCTCCCTCCCTCTCTCCCTCCCTCTCTCTCCCTTTCCCTCCCTCTCTCTCCCTTTCCCTCCCTCTCTCCCTCTCTCCCTCCCTCTCCCTCTCTCTCTCCCTCTCCCTCTCTCTCTCTCTTCCTCTCTCTCCCTCTCTCTCTCTCCCTCCCTCTCTCTCCGTCTCTGTATCTATCTTTCAAATACAGTGGAAGTAAAGCATTTTGAAAAGGAAACTGAAAACTAGCCAAGTGGGAATATGGAGCCCAGTTCACAGGGCTCCGTGCACGCTGGGCGCAGGTGAGGCGCGTCCCTGAGCTGGGACAGAGGTCAGCAAAGTGCCCGCCCCCGTTGAGAACAAAAAGGTGAAATCCCTAAAAAAAAAAAAAAAAGGAAGAGAAATTGGCAGTTGCCGTTGGGTCCTGTAAGGAGGCCTAACCCGAGTGTGACTGGGGCCTGGGTTCAGGTCCCGCCAGCGCCCCCTGCTGCTGATCCAGCTTCCTTCCGACCTGGAGAACAGGAGGCCGCGCCCTGGTCCCTGAGCCCCTACCACACGCGGCTCCGGGCTTCTCTGCCCCGCCCGGCCACGCAAGCATTGGAGGGGTGAGGCCGAGGTTAGCAGCTCTGTCCGTCCGTCGTCCCTTTGGCTGTGGGGAGGGAGGAGCCGATGGCCCTCGGCCGCACTCGGAGAGACTGTGGCTCGGTGTCTCCAAGACTGGAGAAAGACGCCGACACACAAACTCAAGGCCGCAGTCAACTCCCTGCAAGTTCAGGTTCGCGAGTGACAGGCGCTCACGGGAGGCCAGGGGTGAGGCAGGGCTGGGCGCCCGCACCCACACAGCCCGGCCCTGGCTGGTGCAACCGCTGGGTGGAGACTGAGTCCTGCTACCCGCGTCCCCCGATAAGGGACCCAGCTGGGCTCCCACAGCGGCAGAAGCAGCTCCACTCTGCAGGCCGAGAGGATTCGTGCTGCCCCCATGATTTCCAGCGCTCGGAGCAGCGCCGCGCAAGGAGGCAGCAGGACGGTGAGGCCGTGCGGGCCCGGCATGGCCCCCGAGTTCCGGAACCCCCAACCTCGCCAGCCGGCTCAGCGCTGCCTCTGGGGAACCCAGGCCAAGGCCGACAGAGGCTCCCCGGCCCTGTTCGCGGAGCTGCGCGTGGACTGGGCTGCTGGGTGCAGGGGGACAGGGTGAGGTCTTGCATCCACCGCGGGCTGCGGGGTAGTCACTGTCGTTTTGACTTAGTTTCCCTGATGAGCAGTGAAGGGGAGCGAAGTTGCTGATGCTCCCGGCCCCTGGGGTCTCTCTCTCTGTTACCGGAGAAAATGCAGGGTTCCTGTCTTCGCGCAAGAAAGAATTCAGGTGTGAGACAGAGAGTAGTGGGAAGGAAATAGCAAGGTTTATTAGGGCAGGGACATCTGTAAGAACAGATGGGCACCTCTCCAGACAGGACCTGAGAGAGTGCACAATCGCTCGGACTGGGGGAGAGCGAGGTTACATGGCTGAGTGGAGGGATTCTACCTGGGCAGGCAGGCGGGCGGCTCAGCAGAGAGGCAGAGGGCTGAGCGCACAGTCCGGTTGAGGCCGGGGGTGGGGGTGGGGGTTAAGGAGATGGGTCTCTGTCTTCACACATCTCCTCCTGAAACAAAGGAGTTTATGGCTGTAAATACTAAGAAGCTCCTATCTGAGTTTTCCCCTGAAGGTATCAGACAGGAGGAAGCCTCGCTGGCGCCATCCTGGGTTCAGAGGAAGGGTGAGCAGGGCCCCCTGGAGAATGGGGATCAGAGCAGGGTGTTTGAGATGCAGAGACTGGGCTGCACCTGGGAGACTGTGGGAGACTGTCAGGCAGGAGGGGCGGGGACCCCCACCTGGCAGGTTATCGGGTAGAAGGGGCAGGGCAGGGTGCGAAGGCCGGGCTGCCCCTGGAACACTGCCAGCAGATGCAGTGCTGGACATGGACGTCCTCTCTGTAGGCCTTTATGTCACACACACACGCTCATAACTGACTTCCTGCCTAGCATCTGCACAGCAGGCCTCGGAGCCCCACCTGGCGTGAGGCAGACAGGGCAGCGCTGGCCGGAGCACCGGGCCTGCAAGGTTTGTCTCTCAAGCCCCGGGCTCACAAGGACTCCCCCACGCCGCCCCCAGGCCCGAGCCGGGTTCACAAGGACTCCCCCACGCCGCCCCCAGGCCCCAGCCGGGCTCACAAGGGCTCCCCCACGCCGCCCCCAGGCCCGAGCCGGGCTCACAAGGGCTCCCCCACGCCGCCCCCAGGCCCGTGCCGGGCTCACAAGGGCTCCCCCACGCCGCCCCAGGCCCGAGCCGGGCTCACAAGGGCTCCCCCACGCCGCCCCCAGGCCCGAGCCGGGCTCACAAGGGCTCCCCCACGCTGCCCGGGCTCGTCCTCTTCCCGCCAGGAAGGACCAGGGTGCAAATGCCAAGTCAGGTCAGAAAATGCAAGATTGCACAGATTTCCCGAAAGCCTGCCAGCGTCTGAGAGCTCAGCAGAGAGAAACAGGGGTCCGGAGGCCGGACAGACGGCGGCAGGAGGGGCGGGGGCGGGGCCGACGGCGGCAGGGGGGGCGCGGGGCGGGGCAGACCCAGCTGGGCGGCAGGAGGGGCGCGGGGCGGGGCGGGGCAGACGGCGGCAGGAGGGGCGCGGGGCGGGGCGGGGCAGACGGCGGCAGGAGGGTCGGGGCGGGGGCGGGGCAGACCCCGCTGGGCGGCAGGAGGGGCGGGGCCGGGGCAGACCCAGTTGGGCGGCAGGAGGGTCCGGGGCGGGGGCGGGGGCGGGGCAGACCCAGCTGGGCGGCAGGAGGGGCGGGGGCGGGGCCGGGCAGACGCGGGCAGGAGGGGCGGGGGCGGGGGCGGGGCAGAGGCGGCAGGAGGGGCGGGGGCGGGGCAGAGGCGGCAGGAGGGTCCGGGGCGGGGGCGGGGCAGGCCCAGCTGGGCGGCAGGAGGGGCGGGGGCGGGGCCGGGCAGACGCGGGCAGGAGGGTCGGGGCGGGGGCGGGGCAGACCCAGCTGGGCGGCAGGAGGGGCGGGGGCGGGGGCGGGGCAGACCCCGCTGGGCCGCAGGAGGGGCGGGGCCGGGCGCCCGGAGGGAGGATCGCTCGCGGCCACTCCCCCCAGCCAGGATGCGGGGAAACCGTGTAGACGGAGCACAGCTGAGCCCGTTCACGCCCGCACCGGTGGCAGGCGCCGCGCTCGGGTGTGGACGGGATTCCGGGGCCAGGCTGCGGCAGCGCGTGGCCCGACGGACAGGACAGAAAGCCACGGGCGGGGGGCGTCCACAGGGATCGCCTTGTGCCTACACCGACGTTGCCGTTCTGTTAGCTTCCCGGGAAAGAATTTTCTGGAACAAAGCGTCCGGTCAGGTTGACGCAGGAGGTGGGAGTTGACTCCCAGGAGGGGCTCTGGGGTGAAGCGAGGCGGTCTGGACTTTCAGTCCTTCCTCGGTTCCGTCCGCAGAGTCGCGGGGAGGTGCTGCCCTGCCTGCAGCCCCGGGAAGGAGACCGCAGCTGGCGTCGCTCCAGCCAGC